AAATACCCTGCAATGACATCTACAGTTATACCATATAAAGAGGGGACATCTGAGACCCTCCCTGCGTAGGATTTTTAATAAAGCAGGAATTAGGGTGGCATTTAAACCTACAAACTCACTCAGGCAGGACAAACTCTGTAGGTTAAAGGACCCAGTGGACCCAATTAGGCAAAATAGTATAATTTACAAAATACCCTGCAATGACTGTGAGTTAGGTCAACTACATAGGTCAAACTAGTAGGTAAGGAGTAGTCAGATTGTCAGAACATAAGAATTTAGCTAAGGTAAGAATGGTTGACCGCGAGAAGATAAGTAATTCAGAAAAAAGCTCGGCAACTGCAATGCATGCATTAACACACAACCACACAATAGGGTGGGTGGGAGAGGGTTAAAATTGCAAGGAGTAATATAGGTAGGTGAAAAGACAGGTTAATTACTGAATGCTTGTTCATCGATTGAATCTACACCCAACACATGCAATAGAAATCACTCATCACTCATACCGGAAATATGGAGAATACTACTACCAATCAAATCAAGTGAAAAACAATGGAACTATATAAATGAATTTAGGAAGTTGTGTGATTACCTTGATATGATTATGAGGAGCAATAAATTGTGCTCGAAACGTGGTCATCAGTAAATATTACTGTATAACACTGTGAGACTCTATCAAAATAAAATTTATCCATAATGGAATTACACTCTACCACAGTGCCCAAGTTTTATTCTTATATCATTCATTTTTGTCCTTTCGTCGTTCCTGCGTATTTCCATCCTCTAACCTCTTCCAAACATAACCTTGTCGTACTCCTATCCTCTTATCAAATACTTTAATGAGATTTTCGTTGTCATCATCTAAACAGCTTTCTAAAATCATCATAATCACACATCTTTACGTTATCGAAAGATGCCAGAGGAATTTATTAAACTATAGTAAAAATAAGGATACTTAACATGTCAAAAGAAAGTATCCATGGTATATTATCGATACAGAAAGGTGAGGCGAGGCGAAGTGAGGTTTCGTTAATCTGTAAAGTGTTCAAAAAACAACCAATAGCTGTCCGAGTCCATTCATTTGGTTCACTGATGAGTGAAACTCAAATTTCACCACATAGCCTCGGGTGATCCTCAAAATTTACGTTTCCAGTTATTCCACTAAATGGAATATTATATGTTATGCTATAACTTATAAATATTCAGAACAACACATTTAAGCGAACAATATTGTTTCCAATTAGATCTCATCAGGCTTAACTCTAATATACCTACATAACTTTACAAATAAAAATTCAAATATAAACCAATCACGGTGTTTTGTCTATAGGGTAATAAGATGGTGAATATGAATTGTGCAGTTAGTCATAATAATAATAATGGTTTTATCAATAATAAGGATGAAAAAGTGAGGCAATCTGTGATAACAAGAATAATGAAAAACAGCATGATTAAACAAACAACTGTTCAGGTGGAAGTAGTCGATAAAGGCTAGTAAAAACAAATGAACCGATTAAATAATGTTAGATTGTAAGGGAAGGAAATGAAACACGTTTATAATGAAGATACGATTAAGGGATGATAAGAAAGGGGTTGAGAATATAAAGAAAGGGTGGTGTAGAAGTCATGAGTTGGTTATGTCTTAATAGGCCAAGGGAGGGATAATGGCTGTACGAACTTTTTTTGAATACATAGTTTAGGTTTAGTAGTTCGAATGCCTATCACCTCAGCTGTGTGCAATAAACGAATATGAAGTCTATTAGAAAGATTCGGTGGGATACGATGAATTACTTTATAAATATTCGTATTGGTTAGCTTAGAAGAGCTTTAGGGGTAATCAAACGGAATCAATCCATGAAATCTTTCACTGTTGATATCAGCCAGTCACGTAGGGCAACGAGGTCTAGACTACCTGGTTGAGGTCCCCCAGGTGCCAACCAGCAATAAATTGATGCAGACTGTTGGGAACAGAACACAGCTCAAAAACTCACTCAATGACACACATTTATTCACTCTTTGTAACCACTCACAGAGAACCACCAAATCTTCATTATTCTATAAGTAATTATACACTCCCCCGTGGATTTCCATTCATTGTAGTCACATTTTTAAGGAATTTATACTCTCAATCATATCTTTAGAATGCACTTCTATTTGAGAAGAGATTAGACTTTACAGAATAAGTTTGATGTCTCTGAAGCCAGAAAGCTTTCTTTCATCAGTTAATTCAACACAGCATTTCTAGATTGTTTGAAAGAAATCACTGTTAATGATAAAGCTGAGACCCATTCAGACTGTCCAACGAAAGTCTTCTCATAAGAATTGTATTCGAGGGATCAGTGAGAATATGATTACATCATCTTTCACTCTTACTTAGTTACATCATCATTTATCAAGCATCTGATATCTGACTAAATGAACTTAACTCCACAATCAATTTCTTATTTTAGTTTGCGAATTTCATCATTCGTGTATTAACAATTTTCATATGATTCATCTGTTCTTACGAGTTGATCACGGATTGATATCAGTTAGAGAATCATTGAAAACCAGGATGGGGCACTGAACAGCTGTTTCAACCTAGTTCGGGAATCATCGCCAATACGCTCCCACTGGGATTCGAACCCAGGACCTTCCGGTTACAAGGCAAGCTCGTATAGCATTCAGCCATTGGGACCTGATTCAATGGCTAGCCCATGAATTCTAACTTCTACCAATTCGTGATTCAGCGCGACCCCAACCAATGTCGATGGTGGGACATCCATCCTCCTACTTGATATCTGGTTGAACCTCACTGGTCACGACTTCTCACTAGAACTGCAGGAAACTCCATCCTGTAGCAAGTCAGTCACTAGCGAGCATTAGATTAATTTTCTATAGTTTGGTTTATTAGGGTTAGTTTTGTTTTTACGAGATGATCACGGATTGATATCATGAGCCATTGAATCGGGTCAGGTGCCAGTGGCTGAACGGTATACGAGCCAGCTCGCCTTGTAACCGGTAGGTCCTGGGTTCGAACCCCGCATAGTGTGGGTGCGTACTGCGGATGATTCGCAAACTAGGCTGATGAAACAGCTGGCTGTCCAGTACTCCCTGTGGCTGGTTTTCAATGGTTCTCTAACTAATATCAATCCATGATCAACTGGTAAAAGCAAAACTAACCCCAACAAACCAAACTGTAGAAAATTCATCTCTTCTTATCATTTATATACTTCAATATATCGTCGTTAACCTTGTCCTCAATTTCTGAGAAATATCAACTATATTACACACACACACACAAAGAATACAAGTACAGCAGTAATAGTTCCAAATTTTACTAACTAATCATTTAGATTCATCCAGGTACATACCATGATCACTCTTAATCATTATTGTCCTACATTTTATCTCCAAATGTACTAATAGATGCTAAGATTATGATGATAAAACTATTGATAACTTTGAGGATTTCATCATGAACTGACACAGGTTAGAAAACTAGCAAGGTGAACAGGGCGGCTGTTTCGTCGGCCTAGTTTGGGACCCCACTTCAGCAGTACGCACCACCCACTGCTGGTGTTCGAAACCAGGTCTACACTGTATGGTTGAGATCCCCAAGGTTCTAAGAATGAATGAAGGCTGCAGATAATTGGTAATATGGCTCAAAATCAATCTCAATGCCTCGCGCAGATCCGTGATCTGTTGTAGCCATTAAACCCCAACGTTTCACCATGTTACTATTCTTTCCCCCAACAACATTGCTCTTTATCATTTTTACCTCCAATCTGTCAAATGTCAAAGGGACTGCTCTAAACTTAATGGCTTTCTATCAGAAATCAGCCAGTGGTCCAAGGAAAACGGTCTTACCTTAAACCCCTCCAAATGTCAATTTCACCTTTAGGTATAAATCTGACCTAAACAAACTGGTTAGCTCTCACGAGGTGTGCAACATAGATGGAACTGAAATAGAAACCAAGTGAGAAATTAAATACCTAGGCGTCATTCTATCTGCTGATCTTTCCTGGTCGTCTCATATCTTGATGATTTCTAAGAAAATATTCCGTCTTACCTTCTACATCAAGAAGTTAAGACATTCTGCTATAACCCAACCCTTACTCCTACAATTCGTTAACTCTCGCATTCTGCCTATTATTCTCTATTGTTCCCCCTTAGTTTTCCCCGGGCTACTGAAGAAAGACTATAACATATTACGCGGGATGTTAAAGGTTGTCATTAGGGTAAGCAACGTGCCACTTTACCAGCTTGGTAATATTCTGGTTGACAGGCACATAGACTCATGTGAAAATTGGGCCAAATCCATTCTGTCTAACTCACACCACCCTCTTTATTCACAACTCTCCCCTTGCATCTCATCAGGTAAAACCAGAAGCCTATATAGAAAACTATATGCTCGCACTAGCAAGTACAAAAACTCAACCATACCCTACTTAGCTCGCAACTGTGTGATAAAGAAAGCATTAGGCGTGACACCTATAATTCATTAAATAGTCAGTAGAACAACTGGATCTCGTCTTTCCAACTCATATCACTTACAGGTACAACGTTTTCTTTCTTTCTTTTCCCTTTTCTCTCTCTCTGTCTTTTTTTCTGTTATGTGCTGCTTTGTTTCTTTCTTCCGCTTACGCCAGTAAATATGACAGCACCTACTTTTCTAACACCTTCAAACACTGTTCAGCTTTGGCTTTGCTACCGATATGCCAATATGTTGTTGTCATAATGAACTGAGATTTCCTTAATCTATGTAGAATTTTATTTATTGATAATGTACTAACTGGATGCAATACTGTAGTAAAAATACTGAGGATTCCATTCTGTATCACCAGCACTGTTTTGGAATAAAGCAAATTATTATTATTTTCTTCCTACAATTTGCCTTTCTTTGTGTACTAAATGGAGTGTGACAACACGAACTGATGCACTTCTGTGCTGAAAACAGACACTCAGTCGGTCAATCTAAATACTGTCAACAGTTGAGAAAGCCACTAAACAGAAGAAACACCTTTAGTAGAAAGCAAAAAATTACATTTATTCACAGAGCACATATATAGAAAAGACAAATAGCATGACACATCAAATAGAAAAAATGTTGAGCTGCTGCAACTACAAAAATATAAATCATCCACAGCATATATTGATACCATCATTGAAATGAGCAGCAAAGTAAAAGTCGAATTCCGCTTCAATTCACCATAAGCATTCATTCATTCAATATCAGGATCATCTTTACCCTGTTGTCGACTATACACGAAACGGGCAATAAGTTGACATGATGCAATGCTTTCAGCAACAAATGATTTCTTTCGCATTGCATCTAAAAATCCTGTCAATTTAGGCCATTTAGCGCGTAATTCATCGTTTCCACTCAATTCACCAATGTTGTCATTCAAGTCTTTGCCGTTGATTCGTCCGACAATAGTTTCAAATCTTTGTAAATGTGGAAGGATGAGTAAGTCGGCTAGACTCAAATCGTGACCTAAAAAGATATATGTACATAATACTAAGATGAGGTGAGATGAGTTAAATTCACTGAATTATTTATGTGTTGATGGAAAATACTGTACACAGTAAATATTGAATATTTCAACGACGATGTTTTTTTCATTCCTTTACGTTCCCAGTGGAATATAGCGAGGGCTTCAAGTTAGTGGCTTGAAGTTTCTGTAGCAGTGTTGATTTTTACAGAATGGGGTTGCTAGCCTCGTGCCCAACCTTTCCTATTTACCAACTTTATCTCTGACTTAACGAGGTAAAGGAGTGCGTCGGACGGGAATCGAACCCCGGACCATGGGCATGGTCAGTGAGCGTCCTAACCGCTGTGCCACCGACGCACTACGACGACGTGTGAAGTCACATATTTGATTAAATGTTCTACAACACTAGAGTCGATCTGCACTGGAAACTACTTCAACAGTGTGGAGTGCACTGCTCCAAATCTTTATCAACTTCATTCAACAGCTGTATGACAATGGTACATGTCAAGTGATCCACAACGGAAAGCTCAGCGGAGCCTTTGAAATGAAGACAGAATGGAGTAAGACAAGGCTGGCTGTCTGCTTACTATCACCGATGATATTCCTAATTATAGTGGCGTGGATTATAATACGGAAAACAGTTTGAAGTGAGAAGACAAGAATACAATGGACCACTGATAATAGAAGACTCTAGAAGACATGGGACGACTTCGAGAACCATTTATATCTAATGTGAAAATTAAAACAATTAGTCCCCGTTTGATAAATTTGAATAAGGTGTTTAGAAGATAAATTTCGCGAGATGATATCGTCATTTCGTAGTTTCTTACAACCAATTGCTTTACAACTAACATGGTTCACAATAATAAAATAAAGATCATGACAATTACTCAGTTAAAGAAAAAACAAAAGTACATACTAATGACCAATCATATTTAAATAGGTCATGTAATCCATGGTGGGCGAAGATTGAAGTCTATTGTATTTTGTACACACAGTTTAGGTTGTATGTGATTTATCCAGAGTGCTTCCATCACCTTCAATAACCAACCTTGAATTAGAGTTATGTAGTGAAATAATGGTGAAACAGTCATTAATAATAATTTTGTGATTTTGCAATGGACGATGCTGGATTTCTATTCAGATTAATCGCATTGGGATTTTCTATATGATTTAGTAGCCATTTTGGAACATGTTTTTTTTCGACGACATTGGAACATTCTGTTGGTTCTACCTATATGGAAACTATATATATAGAAACTACAAAATGATATCATCTCGCGAAATTTGTCTTCTAAATGCCTGATTCAAATATATCTAATGTGTAATACAAACTCAGAGAATTACGAGTGAAAACCAGCAAACTGGCTGAAGAGGCAGACAGCGAAGACAGGACTTGAAGTGAATTATAAAAAAGATATGGGTGATGAAGATAACCAACCAACAGAGGCAACAACCAGTACCAATCATTATCACAACAGGAGAAACTTGAAAGAGGTTACTTCCCTCAGTTAACTATTTCAGTAACATCGTTTCAACTACAGGCGTCGGCACAAATGAAGATGTTCAAACGATAATCGGAAAGGCAAGGCACAACCTCATTACTCTGGCAATCTACCCGATTCAGTACCAAAAAAATTCAGATTTTCAACACGAATGTCAAGTCAATCAGTGCTTCTTGGCGTAAACGTCACGAAAAGCATTTCCAACCAGCCTGCTGCAGACTTTTAACAACAGCTGCCTTCACTGGTTCCATAATGAAGACCGGTTGGACGGCCAAAAAGAATTAGCAACAAGCAACTTTGAGGACAAACCGATCAAGGACGACCTATCACTCATAAAATATTGTGAAGAAAATGGAGATGGATGGGAGATTCGCTAAGCAAACAGAACCTCGAGTGGAACCCCAATGAGAAACGGGGAGTTGAGTGTCCTAGAATGATATGGAGAAGGAGATGAGAACCTTCGAGCAATCGTAGGATTAGCTGAAGAGGATTACAAGGAACAGGATAAGAAAGAGATGTGCTATTGAAGTCACTGTGTTGTTTCTCTTAGTTTGTTGAATTTTTTGATTTGTGTGGAAGAAAAGAACACAATAAATGAAACTGACGTCAACGTTTCATCCTCTGCTGACTGACAGAACAAAATGGGTGATCAATCTCTCATCAAGGGAACTAAGCTCTAGGTTCTGTCTGTCTTTTTTCGACATAGAACTTTGCACATATGTGCGGCAGTTCAAGTCACCACACTCCCTTCATGTAGCACACAAAGCCAGAAAAGAAGAAAGTACCAGAAGTGCATATTAGAGACAGTAAACAGAGGTGTGAGACAAAGGAATAGTAATAACGAAGAACAAAACAGTTTCATTGGAAATCATAAGTCACAAGGAGTGGATGCATCTGCGCCAGCCATTGAGAACGATTTTGAGCCATGTCACAAACTGTTTCCAACCATTGGTTTTTACCATCCCGAGGACCCCAACCAGGAAGTCTACACCTTCCTACGTGGCTGGCATAAAATAACTGTTGCGGATTTCACTGACTGGTGCCATGTTTCGGTTTGACCGCTGCTAGCTCTTTTCCAGCCTGAACTTATATCAGCTAACATTGCCCATCAGTCGAGGAAGGCGATGACTAGGCATACGTAGCACATGTCCTAACCATCTCAATCGGTGTAATTTCACAGCCTCGTGGATTGATTTCCCCTCCTTACCTAGCACTCAATGCCTAACCTCAATATTGCTCACCTTATTATACCATTTAACACACACGGGAGATAGAACACAGGCACCTATAATCTCTAAGCTCTAGGGAGATAAAAGTACTTGAGAAAGGACTAAATTTCAATGTAACCATAGGATGTCATTCCCATTATAGAAGTAGCACTAAGTTCAATAGATAAGACGACAGTAGAAGAGGTTCGAGCACAGTGTGCATTAACCCTGAAAAATTAAAAGAAGGTAAAATCAAACTGAACAACATCAGAAAGACTAGCTCTAATTAATCTAAAACAGGATAATAACATTGTAATTGCAAAAGCTGACAAACTCTACAGTAGTTTTGGATAAATCTAACTATATCAATAAAGTCACTAGACATATTGAGACGGGTCCATATGAGGAAATTAAGAAGCCTGTAGATAAAATATTGAATAAGGTTAAGAAATCTACAGCGGAATTAATACGCAGAATGAAGCCGTCACTGGGTGAGTCAAAATGGTTTCTAATTTAATGCCTAAAACTGATAATGCTAGTAGAATATATGGTACTATTACAATACATAAACCAGGTTACCGCATACGACCAATAGTAAACTTTAGGAATACCCCTACTTATAAATTATTAAAACACTTAGCTCTAATATTACGCTCCATTAGAATCGTTCAAACTCTAGATTGACTAACTAATTCATATGAGATGGAAAAGAATCTAAATGACATTCATTGATATAAGAATAAAACTTGGGCACTGTGGTAGAGTGTAATTCCATTATGGGTAAATTTTATTTTGATAGAGTATCACAGTGTTATACAGTAATATTTACTGATGACCACGTTTCAAGCACAATTTATTGCTCATAATCATATCAAGGTAATCACACGACTTCCTAATTTCATTTATATAGTTCCATTATTTTTCACTTGATTTCCACTTGATTTGATTGGTAGTATTATTTTCCATATTTCGGGTATTAGTGATGATTCATTCCTATTGCACGTGTTGGGTGTAGATTCGATGAACAAAGATTCAGTAATCAACCTCTCTCTCCACCTACCTAGATTACTTTTTAGAATTTTAACCCTCTCCCACCCTGTTGTGTGGTTATGTGTTAATGCATGCATTGCAATTACTGAGCTTTTTTCTAAATTACTTATCTTTTCTGGGTCAACCATTCTTATCTTAGCTAAATTCTTATGTTCTGACAATCTGACTATTCCTGACCTACTAGTTTGACCTATGTAGTTGACCTCACAGTCATTGCAGGGTATTTTGTAAATTATATTATTTTGTCTAATTGGGTCCACTGGGTCCTTTAACCTACAGAGCTTGTCCCTGAGTGAGTTTGTAGGTTTAAATGCCACCCTAATTCCTGCTTTATTTAGAATCCTACGTAGGGTCTCAGATGTCCCCTCTTTATATGGTATAACTGTCAATGACTTATATTCTCTCTTATTTATGTTATCATTACTAGTTTCACAATTATTTTTATTTTTATTTTGTTTCTGGCCTTTAGTTATCTTCCTAATGAATTTTAAAGGATAATTATTCAACACCAACGCTTCTTCTATCTGTTTTATTTCGTCGTTCAGGTCTTTTTTTGTGCTACTTAGTGCTATGGCTCGGTTTGTTAGACACTTAACTAAGCCTGCCTTAACAGTTAACGGATGCGACGAATTAAAATCTAAATATCTATTAGAATGCGTTGGTTTTCTATACACACTAGTGTGAAGTTTACCTTCTTCTATTCGTTTTATTTTACAATCTAGCATAGCCAACTCTCCTTGTTCATCTTCCGATTCAAATGTGAATTTTATCCCCTCTACTAGTGAGTTAATATGTGTCAAGAAGCTAGAGATATGTTCTGTTTTTAACACTGTGAAAGTGTCATCCACATATCTCCACCATATTTTTGGAGTAGGATTAAACGTATTAAGTGCCATATTTTCCCAGCTATCCATAAATATATCTGCTACGATAGGGGATATTGGTGATCCCATTGCTACACCTTCAGTTTGTCTATATATTTTTCCTTGGAATCTAAAGATAGTAGATGTGAGGCATAGCTGAACCCCTAAAATAATTTCTTCAATGGACAGCTTTGTCCTATGATTGAGTTCAGTATCCGCAGTTAGTTCTTTTTTAACTGCTTCTAAGGCCATATTGACTGGTATATTAGTATAAAGACTGGTTATATCAAAACTAACCATTGTTTCATCATTATCTAGTTGTATGTCATTTAGTTTATTTTTCATTTCATATGAATTAGTTAGTCTAGAATTTGAA